TTGGGGAACAAATCTAACCACCTCCAAGGGGTGGAGAGGTTAGCTTTTCCCTTTATACAACCACAGAAAATACGGCTAGTGGTAACAGTTCTGGAGAAAACTTGAAGGCCATATATTCAACAAGAGAGAGAGAGACCATAAGGGATAACAACCTTCTTATGAATACAAGATGAGTAAAATGAAGGCACTTATATTCTTCCAACAAGGTTTTAGCACCCACAGAAGATTACACAGACTAACNCAACAAGAGAGAGAGAGACCATAAGGGATAACAACCTTCTTATGAATACAAGATGATTAAAATGAAGGCACTTATATTCTTCCAACAAGGTTTTAGCACCCACAGAAGATTACACAGACTAACGGGCCCCATGACCCATTAAACTCATGATTGAACTATGCAAGTTTTCAACAGATAATAGAAATTTTCAGCCATGGGACGGGTATCATCAAAAGAAAATTATTGAAGTGGTTTACATCATCAACAACTGGGTACCAGAGCCCAGAACAGCACAAAGCAAGGGCATGTGAGAAGGAGAACCAAACACATCGTTTTGAATGTATTTCCAACCAACCTCCATGCCTTCTTCTTCATCGGCAGCATAACACCTACAATACAGAATAAATAACAGGAAGATAAAATAAGAACCTTCTTTCAAGTCAAGTCCAATTAATTCATCATGAGAGTAGTCATGGATGCATGCACGATGAGACTATAACAGCACATTACTTTCTCAAATCAGTTTTCAGATTCCGCATAGAAAACACCATGAACAATCCAATCAGGAGTAAAAGGATGACAGCTGAATTAAATAATGAAAACCAATGAATTTTCTGCTGTATCGGTAGAAAGGAAGCCCTTGAATAACTGTTCATTCTGTTCTCAAACTCAGTGGAGGTTGCATTCCAGAAAACTGAATAAGTGAACTCAACATTGGTTTCCACATCTTCCTTTAATTCCACGACATGATCTGGGTCACTAAAAGCATGTATTTCTATGATGTGGTCATCATTGTAAAGAGCATCAAACCGAACATGGCTGAAAATATAAAATTTAAGACCCTTTTCATCAAGGGTCCAATTTGCCTCTTCAACCTTCCCAATAAATCCCCAAAATGGAAGATCATCATAGTACATTTGGAAGTAAAAATCATTCATAATAGCATTCCTGAACTTTGTGACTTGTTCTCTTTTCAGCTCCTTCTGGCACAGAATATCCCCAATTTTGTCCTCCCGAAATTTCAACTTATATAAAGCATTTGTCAAACGATCACCATTTAAAACTTCCCCCAGGGTTTCCGTCTTTCTAATCACCTGATCTGCATGACAAAAGTGAAATGTCAACACACTCTAATTAGTGTTGTAATCATAACCAAGGGTAATACACCAAAAATCAACAAAACACCATCACTGAGTACCGTGGCCAGTTTCAGACTGTGCAATTGGTTTCTCTAAACTTTTGGATGGTACCGGACCGATTGTATCAAATATTCCAAAAACATCTTTACTACATCGATAACAATCAAGCTTCAATTTGGAACATATTACAGTTGGTCAATTTATTGTTGAAGCTGCATATCAAGAATTCTTCCTCTAAAACAATTCTACTTGCTAGCTAAAATATAACTAGTGTTATTGGATAATAGCATGCTACCCAGTAATCAAGTACTAAATGTTACTATGAGCCAAAAAACAGTAGCCTAATATACAACTATATGCACTAAATGATAAAAGTCCCAATCAGTTCTCTTTCCACTTATAATAGGATAGCCAATTGTTACTGTAAAGCCTAAATGCTAACCTGGATGGCAGAATGGCAAGTGATAGTATTGGTAGGTTTCACTGCACAAGGATAACAATTAAACAACATTAAGATAGTAGAAGTACCAAGATTCCTCAAAAGAATCAAACATTATTCAAGGTGAAACTTTGGATACTGTTATCTTAAAATCCAATCCTAGTTATTACATTTTCAAAAATGTTTAAAGTTTGTCAATGTTAACCTTTTATTTGTCAAAGAAAAAACTGAAAAATGAGGAATATCACATTTATCCTTGAAGTGTATGCATCATTCAACGCCATTTCAGATTTCAGGATCACGATTAGACTGAAGAATGACGCGCATTTTCACTAATGCTATAAAATATATTTTTTTTCTTTTGTAAGACAACAAAACTTGCAAGATTCAACAGCATAGCTTAAATCCAATTCAAGTTGGCAATCCTTGACATCTAACCACTCAAAGCCGGGAACATATACATTTTTCAGATTAAACCATATTGTTTCCTCAACTCCTGGGGATGACCAAATGCTCCCTCTATTCCCACCTCCTCAACCAATATTAAGTTTGGCCCCCTGTTTTGTCTGTAACACCCCACTTGAATCAAATTCTCCTCCTCATTTGATGCATCAAACAAAACCATCTTAAAAACATTTCCCTACTCTTACCTCATATATTGCAACCTCTAGCTCGGTGCAGTACGTCTACACTCCCGTGTCATGATTCACCCATTCCAACAAGTAAAAAAGAAAAAGGATAATTATCCATTGAGGCTACTCTCACGTAGAGTGATGTTACTATTACCAATGGCCTAGATTAGATACATACCAAAACTTGGGCCCGAGTTGACCCTTTTCCAGTTCTACATTCCTCAGATTCGCTCCATTCACACCACCACAAGACTCACAACGAATCTAGGTGGAGCCCATAATAATATTGAAGTGGGTTCCCCACCAATGCCTACGGAGTGCTCGGATCTGAAAGTTTTGGGGGAAATTTATTATTGGAGACGACCTCCGTCCCCTTTGACATATTTGGACACAGGGTCAATACACATTGCAACAGGTACTTCAGCAATACTCATTCTAGGAACATAATTTGGTATTATGCAGCATAAAGCATAACTAGCATTGCACTTAACATTTTAAGTTCAAAGCTACTTTCCAGCTTAATATGCCATCGACAACCATACAAATTCTCATAAGCAATTCTTTCAGGTTTAACAAGTAGTCTGGTAAATAGTTATAAAATTAACCATGCTCACAGTTATTAGGGATGATAAAATCATCCGTTGGTGGATCAGAAGGGAAGTACCTGGGATTGTTTAAGGAGCCCACCTTGTTAACGAATAAGGGAACGTCGTCGCCCACATTGTACCGATGATCAGACGGTGAAGCACTGACAGAGGGGAGCAAGATGGCCAGATATGTTACAACGAGCAGAAGAAAGTGATTGATTCGAGTCGTTTGATCCATAGGTGCTCGACAGAGAGAGAGAGAGAGAGAGAATTGAAGGTGTTAAACACCCAAGCTTTTAAGCAATTAGACTCTCACCCAATCCGTTTAAATTACTATACCGAGGTCCGAGTACCAAAAGGAATCTACTTTAATTTCGAATTGTGCAATTAAAGAAAAATAATGAAAATAAATTATTATTTAAAATATAAAAATTGTATAATTAATGTTTAATTTTTAATATTCAGATACAAGATCATTGTTAGTTCTATAATAAGAATGCCCACTATGGGTTGGACAAAATGTGCTAAGAGAATGGAGAGGAAGTGGATATGTGAGCCCTTAAAAATATGTGTTTGATTGATTAAACTCAAGTTAAAATTGAAATGATCCTTCAACTAGTTCATTGAGCCCTTAAAAATATGTGTTTGATTGATTAAACTCGAGTTAAAATTGAAATGACCCTTCAACTAGTTCATTAATCTAACGGTATAGTATTGATTGAACTTTTGTTGAGTCAAGTTCTAGTACTTAATGTTAATAGTTTGTCGAGTTACTAAGAGCTCGAGGTGTGTTTTAATTGGAGTCATTTGTCATGCAAATAAATCTCAAATAAGTTGTTTTTATTTTTAAGAGGGATTCTAGTACAATACAAATAGTTTTAACTGACCATTCTTAAAGAGGCAGAAGGCAATGTGGGACATGTAGGTTTTACATATAGAAGAGAACTTGACATTCATTGGTGGTACAAAGGTTAGTAGGTACGCACCTACAAAACAGTTTTAAAAGTTTTTTTTTGGGTATTGATTTATCATTGGGTATACTTGAATCTCACATTCGTGTTGTTGATTTGGAATTGGGGTTGTTGATTTGTTTTAGTTTGTCAGGATATTGAGTACAATTCGTTAGTGTTCTATGTTTACCAATACGAAATTGGGGTTTTGGTGGGTTTTATTCAGCAATTCTCCAACTTTTGAATTTCTTGCTCGAAACCCAGATATCAATTCTCAAGCTTCCCTTGAAGGTTGTTCATTTGATGGATATCTCTCTGACAGTGGACTACTTGGCTCTTCTTTGTGGTGACTGACTACTTTTTTTGATTATGTTGTTCTAACTTCTGTTGATGCAATGATGCAGGAGCGACTTGTGTATTGGCTTTGATTTTGATACGTGAAAATATATGGAATGAAGTTATTGGAATCTGGTGATGTCAATTTATAAGTTTTTGAATCCAATTTGTGGATTTGAGAGTGTATGTTTCTATTCGTCATGGAGTACCTACCTGTTGAGGTGATTGGGAACACACTATCCCATCTTGGAGATTCCCAATTACCAGAGATTCCCTTGCCATATATACGTATCTTTGAGTTACATTAGTATTTCAGCATTGGATCTGAATTTGTTGCTTGCAGCCTGCCCAAAGATTGAGGTGTTGGCCCTTTGGAATCCAGAGATTGCAATGTCAGATGCACAGGTAACTGTTGAACTGAACATCCTAACATTATAGAGAATATATGTTGATGCGGTAAGCCTGGATAAGTTGGGTTGCATTGAGATATTGCACTTGGAAAGATTGTGCCCTTGAGCTTTTTGAACTCATTGGAAAGGGAACATTGAAGCATTGCAAGACTGATGATGTTAGTGTTATACACATTGATATTGGTGAGCATTTATAANATATTGCACTTGGAAAGATTGTGCCCTTGAGCTTTTTGAACTCATTGGAAAGGGAATATTGAAGCATTGCAAGACTGATGATGTTAGTGTTATACACATTGATATTGGTGAGCATTTATAATCTCAAAATCATAGATGTTAGCAATTCCACGATCATTCGGTCCAAGTTCTATCAGATGATTTCCAAATCGTCCAAATTGAGAAGACTTAAGGTTTGGGATGTGCTCTTTGATGATGATGATGACATTGTCGATGTAGAGATCATTTCTTGTTGTTTCCCACAGGTAAGCCATCTTGCATTGAGTTATGATTTTAGAGATTGACTTAAGAGATGGAGTGCTACACTCTGGTTTGGAAGGATTGTCTCCTTTGGAAAATGTGCTTGTATCGGAGCTTGGGTGGACTGTAGTTAATGATCTCTTTATACAGTGGGTGGCAGGTCTGCTTAATAGACGTTCAAAGTTCAAACCTGAAGAAGTTAGTCATTCATGGGGTGGTTTTAGAGGCCAAAACACATGAAGAATGTCAAAAGCTGGCCAATTTTACCTCATCCATTGTTCAGCTCAAGGTGACATATATGCTTGTAGATGTTCGATTTGAATAGGAATAGAGATCCTGTAGGATGCCTTGGTGGAACTGTGGAAAATGAAGTTCTGGATTGTCAATTGTAGAAGCACTTGCAGGTAACGTGTGCTGCATGTGGGGTATTAGTTTCACATTGTGTTCTCTAGTTACATTCTGAATTTTTTCTGTTTGCATTTGTCATGTTACATACAATGGAATAGAATTTTATTTCCTATCCTTTTGCTATGTTGCATGCTTTGGATTGCACAATTACTTTGAGGTTTTTCGTTAGTAGTTTGTCTTAGATTACTTGCAACAGGGGATTAGAATGACTAGCCTCTGAGCTGAGTGAGGCTTCCAGTAATGGCTAATGTTTTGTGGTTAGAATGTTGCAAAGTATGCAGTACAAAAAAGCTGCTAATAGTTTAGATGAGATACACTCGTGAAAATATGTTGTTTGCTTACTATAGGGGAGTTATTTTATTCTAAAATAAGCCTCTACATGAGGCATGGAATGCGGTTGTAATAATTGTCTTAACAATTCGGTATCATCTATTCTTTAAGATTGATGGGCTATGAAGTGGAAAAGCTTAGGAATTCAAGTGTGAGAACACATTTATGAGTCTTCTAGTGGGCACCTGGCGTAAATGGAAGTGGAAAGCAGGTGTAGGGCACCCCGTATGACAGGACAGACACTAGGTAGTGACCCTCTTGTTAAAAAATAAATTCTTTGATGATTTTGTGTTGTTCTGTTCCAGTTTTATATCAGCTAATGCATCATGCTCTATTGTTCTCCAGATAAATTTTTTTAGCAAATCAACTGTGTTTTAAAGTTGCATTTATTAGTTTTCTCCCTCCTAAATTAGCCTCAATACCGCTGCAACCCAGTTTAAGCCTTTATAAGGTCATCCCGGAAAGACATGAGAATGAGATAACTTCCAGGTATAGAATGCTTTCACATTTGATGCTCCTGGGTTGTTTCTATCTTTAGTATAAAGGGCAAGAGAGGCCCAAAATTCATGTCAATCCATTGTTCTTCGTGTTGCAGTCTGCCCTTGAGAAAGCAGGTAGTATGGAGGATTTTCATAAACTAAAAGTGCCACAACTACAATGGCTGCCAACGTTGCATCTTGTAGTGGAATCATCCTCTAAGGTTCATATGGTGTTGCTAATCATATGAAAGGGGGCTTGGGTGATATGGTAATATGAATCTTGAGGAAGGGCAGGGCTTCAGTGATAATTTTTCTTCTTGATGGCGGAGGATCGAGGGTTGGTTTTCGAGGTACATATGTTCTAGATTTAGATTGGTTTAAAAGGCTGTGACTTGAGGAAAATGGTTGCAGAGATTTTTTTGTGGTTTTTGGAAGGGGTCTTAATTTTTTACTGCCAAGCCTTCGAGCAGGCCAGTGATTTACTCTTTTTATGATGTCTAGACTTCAAGTTCTTGTTGGGCTACCAGAACCAGAGTGGGAAGAATTCGCTCGATACGAATTCTTCCCAAAGTCTACCCAAATTAATGTGTGCAAGCAAAACTTCGTCAACGTTTTGAATCTTT